AAAGTATGCACTCAATAAGTAAAGAAAGAAAGAATTTTAGCTTATGGCATTTTATACCAAATGAATGTGTTTAGCCACAATTCAAAAAGCCAATGTATTTTTGTTACTTCTCTTCTTCTGTTTTAAATTGAGCCTTAATAGATCATAAGGAATAGAAAACAAAAGAAATTGAAAAGAGAATGGAAAGTCTGTGATGCTACATTTGCAAATGCAATAAAAAAAATCCAAAGATTCACTAGGAAAATCTGAAGATATGGCAGATAATTATTTATTTGCCAACTCATGGAAACATCCCTTTGCTGTTATATAAGCCAAATAACTGAGTAAGAATATTTGCAAACAACCTATAATTTAGAATTTCTAAAAGGTCTATCTATAGCCAGAATAAAGGCAATTAACAGGATTAAAGCAGTGACCTTTTTCCCTCTCTTTACTTGAAAGCTGAATTCATTAGTGATGTTTTATATGGTCTATAAACTATTTTTGAAAATAATACTTCTGTTGCATCAGTATTTTTAAGCCTATTGCTAATAGTAACTTTAAGCCATCTAATCTAGAATGTAAGCATGTTTTGTTAGAGTTAAAAACAAAACAAAACCCTTCTCTGCCAGTAGTCACACCTTTACCATCTCCCCTAAGGGCACTAAAGAGAAATAGATTAATTTTAGGCAAATATGAAGCACTATATACTCAGATCATTGTACACATATTAATCAAATATTCACTGAGGGTGTCTTAGTGACAAGCATTGTGTTGGTGTTGGAAATACATTTGTGAAATTAAAGGGCCTGCCTCCTCCAGAATCACAATAATTTCTCTAGTACTCCCCTGATTAATTTAGCAGTCTTCAAACTATCTGAGATATATCTGTACATGTGTATGGATGTGTAGATTCATTATTGTAAGACATTACTATGAAAAGGATAAGAATTACTTAACATTTGATTGTGATTATTGCAGGATGTACAATGCTTATTCTTAAAAAAAACTTAGGAACAAATGTTTTTAAGAACTGCATAATATGTGAGTCAGCAATTCCACTTTTAGGAATTCATATTCACAAAATGATAAAGATTAGCTGCAAAGATTTAATTACAAGGGTGTTCATTGTAGAATTATTGGAATTATTTTTTAAATAGGGCAAGAAACAGCCTAGATCAATACAGGATTGTTTAAATAAATTGTTATGTTCACACAGTGAAAAACTAGGTAACATTAAAAAGGATCGGGTAGAAGTGTTTTCATGGATGTGAAAAAATTTCCATGCTATGTTATAAAGTGAAAACCGAAAGTTACCTGTTGCTTAAGTACAGAAAAGTGCAAGCCCAGACTTTGCTCTGGGCCTGGGCAAGAGATTGACCTCACAGAGTCTCAGTTCTCCCGTCTGTTATGGGTAGAATTAGGTCCCCCCCAAATTCATATGTTGAAGTCCTAATCCTCTGTACCTCAGAATGTGACTATATTTGGAAGTAGGGTTTTTAAAGAGGTAATTAGGTTAAAATGAAGTTATTAGTGGACCCTAATCCAATATGACTGATGTCCTTTTAAGAAGAGATGATGAGTACATAGACAGTACAGAGGTAAGACCATGTGAAGACTCACAGAGAAGACGGCCATCTGCAAGCCAAGGGGAGAAGCCTCAGAAGAAGCCAACCCTGCCCACATCTTAGTCTCATACTTTTAGACTTCAGAACTTTGAAATAATAAACGTCGGTTGTTGGAGCCACCAGTCTGGGGTACTTTGTTATGGCAGTCCTAGCAAACTATTAATAATACATCATTTATAAGGTGGGGAAAATTTTAATACCATCTTTATTTAGCTCACGAGGTTGCTTTAAGTCAAATATATGTAATCCCTTTGTAAAGTGTAAAGCACCTACATAAATATGAGTAGTTGTTATTCACATGGTTCTTGAAAATCCTGGAGGAATGCAGTCATCTTGTTCAGACTGAACTTTATAACCCATTAGTAGGGCAGAGGCTCAGTACCAGTACAGGGGATAGGGAGAAGCAGATTTGTGTAGGGCTGCAGTAAAGAACACAAATGATTTGTCAGTGAAACGACAGGCAAAATAAAAAGAATAGTTCCTGGCCAGACTCAGTGGCTCATGCCTGTAATCCTAGCTCTTTGGGAGGTGGGAGGATCCCTTCAGGCCAGGAGTTTGAGACCGGCCTGAGCAATATAGCAAAACCCCATCAGGCGTGGTGGTTCACACCTGTAGTCCCAGCTACTCTGGTGGCTGAGGCAGGAGAATACCTTGAACCCAGGAGTTTGAGGCTGCAGTGAGCTATGATGACACCACTGTACTTCAGCCTGGGCAACAAAGTGAGACCTATCTCAAAAAAAAAAAAAGAAAGAAAAAGAAAAAATATAGTTCCTTACATCCATGCTGCAACTTGTTAAGCAAACAAACATCTAAAACTACGTATGATTACAATAGCTAATCTTTATTACGCATTTACTAAGTATCAAGCATGATTCCAAGTACCTTTTATAGGTGTTCCCTAACTAAATCTCCTATCGACCCTATGGCAAAAGTGCCGTGTGTGTGATTTTCCAAGATCATGCTTTGCATTACTGTGAAACACTGAAAACACTACTGACTGAATGAAATGACCTGTGGTAAAATACAAAACACACACCCCTGCCATCTTCTTCCTCTTACCTCAGCACATCCACATGCATTGCCCTAAGAGTGTGCATACTATTCTTCTGAGTTTGTGTTTATTTCATGGTAAGCATATTGAATATATTATCTCAAACCTGTGTAAGCATCCTGATTATAAGAATCACAAGTGGAGAATAAAAAGGAAAGCCTTAAATTTTAAGGGGAAAATTAAAATAAAATATTTTGAAATTACTGAGAGAACTTGCAGGCCTGAAGGAATCCACATTGCCTACATTTAGGAACAAAACTAAGAAAATAAAAGAAAGGAGAGCTTGTACCTCACAGTTATCTACTTCCAATGGAATTGAAGAGCACTTGGAAGAGATTGGAGATAAAGACTACTGCCAAGTAATAAGGAATGAAGTTGGATAGTGTCTGTGGCCTCCAAGCTCATTAGAAACCATACAAGCAGCTTATTTATGAAAGGAAGAAACTGGCAGAAAAACAAGGTGGGATTTCTATTTTAAGCTGGTTTTGAAGACAAACAGTACAGTAGATGACAGTAATCCACCTTGGGAGTCACAATATTTTAGCCTAAGAATGACGATGTCCTTCTTTCCTTTTACCTCTTCTCAGTAATCCAGAAACCACAATACTTTACCACATCCATTTCTAATAAGTGGCGTTTGGAGCATGGCTATCTACAATAGAAATAATGAACTTACTACCTTCCATTGAAAGGCTACATAGAAAATATAAAATGTCTATAAGCAAAAGATACAATGAATTAAATTAAAAGACAAATGACATCTCACTGCAAAAAATGATAAATATGTGAAGTAATGCATATGTTAATTAGCTCAATTTGACCATTTCACAGTGTATACAGACTCTCCTTAACTTGTGATAGGGTTATGGTTTCTATTGAATTTGTATTGCTTTCTCAACATGGTAAAGTTGAAAAATCCTAAGTCAAACGATAGTTAGAGACTGTCTGTACATAGTTCAAAACATGTACACAATAAATGTATACAATTTTTAGTGTTCATTTAAAACAAAAAATTCTATTTCCAAAAAGAAATAGCTTTCTGAAGATTAAAAACAAGACAAATGGCAAAAATGTCATTGCAATATATGGCAAAGGGTTAAAATTCTTAAAATACTGCATAAAAAGCTCTTATCAATCAGTTAGGAAAAAAATGCCAAATATTTCAATACAAAATGGTCAAAGAATATGAAAAAATAACACAGGATGAAACACAAAGGCTAACCAACATGAAACTGTTTAATTTCAATAAAGAAATGCAAATTAAAATTATGAATCGTTTCTAACCTAGTAGATTGGCAAAGACATTTTTTAAAAAGGTTTAAAAAAATCGACTCACTAACTTTCTCTGGAGAATTTAATCAAAGAAAATAATGAGACTAGGGTTCAAAAACATATGTGCAAGTATATATATTACACAATTGTTTATGGGTTAAAAAATTGAAGTAATTTAATATAGCAATTGAGGATTGGTCCAATAAATCGAGGTATGTATTCTTTCATTTAGCAATTCTGTAGAATCTATCCCTTGGAATAGTAAATAAAATCAACAGTTCTCAGAAACTCAAACATTTATTTCAGCAGTTTGTAGATGCAAAAAATGATGGAATAATTTACAGCACACACACACTCCATGGAGGGAGGAAAAGAAAAAAATCTGCACACTAACGATCACCTATATGTATCCAAATAAGATATTATGTGTATACACACAAATAAAAATATACTAAAGGGTAGTTAATAGAATACTATGCAGCTGTACAGAAAGCACAATTTTATATTTTTAAATCAAAAGATAAATATATATTAAGTGAAAAAACTGTGTAATTAATTCTATTTATGTTATATATATTAACTTTGATTTTGCCCTTGAACAGCCCCTAATTGTAGTTATCCTTATCTATGCATGAGAGATTAAAGACCCGCCCGGACATAGACGCAAGTTGACTTGCAGAGCCAGTCAGTCTTACAGAGCTACTTTGCTTGGCTTTGTATTTTCAGACAACCCTTTAATTACAAACACTTCAAGGCCAGCGGGTCTGAAAATAAGGGCTGCCGATACAGCGGTGAACAGCCTTTGAAGCCCTGTCCGTCAGAGGCCAGGTCACCGCTCCTCCTTCCATTTCCAAGCCTTGGCTCCCACGCACTTCTCAGGAGAGGGAACGTCGAGATTCCTTCGATAATCTACAGTCCAGGGCTACACTTCTGCGCTCACCTAGGACAACTCCGGGCCAATAGGCGGAGGACTATTTTTTTCATTCGCTACCGTTCTTTACCAGCCAATCAGAAACGTTCTTCAAATGTCTCCCTCCTCTGAGGTGCGCCAGACTCTGGGAAAACTGGCATCACTTCCGGGCTGCAGTCTGGACGGCCACGCACGTTGCCATAGCGACCATTTTACGTTAATTGGTTTGTAGCTTCCATCCAGGTGGTGGGCCGACTGCGGGGGCAACTCTTCCCCCACTCCCTGTCGCACCCCGCGGCCGGAAGGCCTTCGCGGACACCGGGGGTCTGGCCTAGGGATCCGCGTTGCCCAGTGTGGGGTGGGAGGATGGCTGCGGAAGAAGAGGAAGAGGTAGAATGGGTGGTGGAGAGCATCGCGGGGTTCCTGCGAGGCCCGGACTGGTCCATCCCCATCTTGGACTTTGTGGAGCAGAAATGTGAAGGTAAAATAGACAATCCTTACTCCCCTCTGTCACTCCAACAGTCAGAAGGAAGATGGTCGGCACAAACCATCTCTCCTCTTCCGCGTCTCCACCCCTGTCGGCCGGGTTTAGAGCTGGTTACGTTGGAGGAATTGCTTTCCCTCTGCCGGTGTTTTCCTTAGCAGACCTGAAAATAGGGACCGAGACTCCCCTCTCCCTGGGCCCAAGCTCATGTCCAAAAAACATTAGACTTTAATCCTATGTTCAGTCTTTCATACTTGGTAAGTGGACTGTTTGGGTGGGCGCCTTTAACAGGTTACCCAGTGATTTGGGAGAAGCGTCATTTTACCTCTGAATTCCATATTATCTCCACCATTTCGCCTGTGTAGTGTGTTTAGGAAATGCGAAATGATTCACCCCAGACCCAACAGTTGACTGCAAAGGATGGCATATGATTACTCCAGCAGGCCCAGAGCCAGTGATCTCGGTGGCCTGTATTCCCCTTGTTGACGTCTCTGATTCTTGGCTCTTCCAAAAATGGTGGTGGTGGTTATCTTCTAACAAATGAGACGTATAGTGTGGCATAATATTCCCTGCGAGGGACTGACACCTTCGAGTTCTGATCAGTTCACCCTTGGAGTTCTATATTGAGCCGTGGAGACAAATTGGAGCCCATTTGGGGGGAAAATGACCCAGAAACCATGTCATATGAACGAGTGCCCAACTGTTATTGTGGTGGTTTAGCCCGGCAAGACTTAGATGGTAGTAATGTCCATTAGTCATTTAAACGTCTGTCTTATGTTGAAATGTTAGAGGAGATTCAGTTATCCAATGGTTGGCTTTCCTGTATGACATTTTAAGACCTCTTTCAACCCTAGGATTTCATGAATCTGGTGAAGATGAAATTTAGTTTGACCACTGAATGTTTTCATTACATTCTCATTGCCATAAACAAAATGCAAATAATGGTTATTAAGTCTTGTAGTTTTTAAGGATGTTCAAAAACAAAGTAACTTATATTTGTACTCCTTTTGAGAATTTAAAATGCTATTATGAGACTGATAAGGCATGTGGAATTCTGACCTCCTTTAGAAGAGAGAAGAAATTATGTCACCTTTTGATTCCATTTACCCCACTGAAACTAAATGCTGAAATGGAAAAAAATTAAAGCATTGGTCATCTTTTTATCCCCAAATGTCAAAAGTGGCTGCATCTCAACAATAACATATCTGATTGTGTGATTTTATGGGAAAGCAGTAATTTACAGCCTTATAAACATGTACTGTGGTGATTTGCTTTCAGAATAAACTGAAAATAGCTTAAGTAGATGCTGTATTGCTTGTATGTACAGTGTTACATAGAGCCAATGCCAGGATAAATATTAATAGAAGTGACATGCCAGTGACACTTGAAATAACTATTTATACTCCACTTACTTGGGGTTGTCATTGTGCTCTTCTCTACCTCAGATCATTTAAAGACTAGTTTTATACAACTTTGTGACATCAGCCTTTATTTCTACAAACATTTATTGTGTCCTTGGGTCAGAAGTTGGGGATAGAAACATGAAAAAAACAAAATCCCACGCTTGACAAGTTTATAATCTAGTGGGGAGGACAGGCAGGTAAACAATAAAATGCAAAATGGCAGGTACTATAATAATGGTAGGCACATGGTGCTGTATCTTGTAAGAGTTCAGAGGAAGGGATCTAACCAGCCTTGGAGTTGAGAGTGGGTAGCAAGTCATGGAGAATGTGCCAGTTGGCAATATTTTGAAGAATGGTTGGGAGAGAAAGGGGGAAGGAAGTGGAGTAAAGCAGAGGCATGGAGGTTTGAAGTGGTGTGTGTTTTGTTTGGATATGTCAAGCAGTTTTGTATTGTTAGGAGTGCAAGGTTTGGGTTTTAAGAGTGGTGGGAGATTAGACATGGGATCTAGTCGTGGAGAACCTTGTCTGACCTAAGGCTTTTGTGCTTATTCTCTAGGCAATCAATAGTCGTTGAAGAGGTTTAAACCAAAAATTGCAGAAGTTAGTTTTGTATTTTAGAAAGGTCATGCTGGGGGACCGAAAAGAAAATGTTTATTGTTTGCAATTCCTGGGTTTGTCCTGTTTCCATAATTAGATTGTAGCTTCTCGAGGGAATATGTATCTTTCTAATCTACGTTATTTCACACATAAGATCATTCAAGAAACATGTGCTTTGGTTTTACTTATTTTAACTTCATTATTGATCTACCATAGCATAAATGGCCTAATCACTTTCAGTAAAATTTATATCAGCAAAGTTCCAGTACAGTAAAGTAATCTAGAGCCTGATTTAATATTCCATTAAAAGTTTATGAAGAAATTGTTGCCTTATATTATTGATTGAAAAATGGAAAATTACTGTTTGTCTTAAATATGAGGTTGTGTTTTTTCTCAAGTAGGAGAAAAAAATTTGTTTACAATTAGCAGTATATATTTATATATACATTCATTTATATATTTTTTTAAAGAAAAACTTAAGGAATTCAAAGTTGAAGAGCTAGGTTATAAGAATGATAGTTCTATTTGTAACGAGTAGATTTTTATATTTGTATTAATAAAAGGATTGGTTATTTACACTATGCAATATTTTCTTTTAAATTTAGTTTTTGATGATGAAGAAGAAAGCAAATTGACCTATACAGAGATTCATCAGGAATACAAAGAACTAGTGAGTATTTTTTTTCATTGATTTTTACAGGTAATTAGGATATTATTTGTAGCTTTTCTAAATTTAAAAAATGGATTTTTTTCATTAAAATTCTTTAATTTTACAAAAACCCAGTCTACCCTAACAATACTGCTAGTTATATCAGGCTCCATGGGTTCTCTGAGCATCTTATTCTTATGACTTCTTATCTCTTCTACTCAAGAATCTAAGAAATGGTTTTACAACAACTATTTACAGGTTCTTGCATCTAATCTTTAAATTTTATTCTTTTTGTGCTAATGCATTCAGGGATGTGTTATTCATATAGTCATGGTTGTCTTGTGATTTTTAAAAATGCCTCTAGGGAGCAGAAGAATTGTGTCATGCTGAACTTCATAATCCTGACTTCAATTATTTGTAGTAAAGGAAATAAAATTTCAGGTGATTTTCTACAAAGACATTAACTTTTTGTTTTTTGGTGAAAGACAATGTCACTGCCATGTAATATAATATGTAGATTCATATTTACAAAAAAGTATTTGATTATACTTTTCCGAACTAAATACTTAATATGCAGACTGTCATTTAGAATTTTTCTATGTAATTATACAAGTTAAACTTTCTTTTTTTAGGTTGAAAAGCTGTTAGAAAATTACCTAAAAGAAATTGGAATTAATGAAGATCAATTTCAAGAAGCATGCACTTCTCCTCTTGCAAAGACCCACACATCACAGGTTTTTCTTTTTATTATTCTGCTAACATATAGTTTCAACAATGCCCAGGGTTTCATTTAAATTTGAATGTTTAATTGTCAAAGTATAATATTTTAGACATTGTGAGAGGTGAAAAGATAATTCGTCATATATGGGTTCTTTTTTAGAGCAACCTTGACCAATGATAGTTTGAGGTATTAATGAACTGATATAACTAAAAAGGAACTTTCTGAACTCAGAACTATAATAAGATCACAGGGTTTATCCAAAGTACTGTTTTATTTATATAGATCTCTGATAATTCTGCAGTCATTTCTTTTTTAATCTTAGCAGATCCAGAGTCTGTTAGTTCTTGGGCTTCCTTCTCTTGGAACTACTTTTTTTGTCTCAGTTGTGCAGAGCTGGGATGAAGCAGATATGTATATTTGTAACTTAATGTTTATTGAGAACTTGTGATAGTTGATGTTTTAGGAACTTGACATGTATTATCTCATTTAATCTTACTAACACCTCTTAAAATATGGGTACTATTTAATTTCAATATGGAAAGGAAGAAACCAAAACACAAAGATACTAAGCAACTAGTCCAAAGTCCACAGCTAAATAAGTATTAATAGTAGAGCCAGTAAATGAGCCCAAGCAATCCAACTGAGAGCCCTTGCTGCTCTGAAGTTAAAGATAGGGATATGTTGCTACAACCCAAGTAGTCTTCTTCTCAAAAACTGGCTTTGGCTTCCCATGATCTACCAAATAAACTGTAATTCCTTGACAAGATATAGTGAAGATTATCTATAATATAATGTGACCCCAAGTTATATTTTCAGCCTTGATCTCATGCCGTAGTTCTCCAGTACATTGTGTAATACCATTATTCCAAGCCACTCACTCTTATAAACATCTAGGCACTTGGCTTTGCTCATACTGTCCCTTAACCTGGAATGTACAGCCCCCCCCCCAACCCACTCCACGATCCCTTCCCTAACTAAGAGAAATCTTTCTCATCATCAGGGCCCGGCTGAAATGCTTCTTGTTATGGCAGCTTTGCCATTTCTTCTAGTCAGACCAGAACCCATTCTACCTCACTACTAGGTACTTTTACATTGGTATTTTTGGTATTCTCCCTTGAATTACAGTTTCCTACAAGTATGTTTGCCCTACTATATTGTAAGTCCTTTGAGCTGTTTTTAGTAACTTTGTATTCCCAGCTACTTGCACAGAGGTGAAAACTTGGTTCCTAGCAGGTAGTTCTCAGTAAATGCTTGTTAAATTATCTTGTTATTATGGCCTAGAAGAGATTGCTTTGACTACTGTTTAATCCAGCACTTCCTGGTACAGTTCACTTTTGCACAACTTCTCATTTTATGACCTCTAATTCTAGAGATAGAAAATCTTAATATAACATGATATTTAAAAAAATAATATTTAAATGTTATTGGTGTGCCCAATTAATGTAAAAAAATTAGATTTTATTAGTTCATAATTCTATAAAGCAAATGTTGTTTTACAGTTCACCAGTAGTTTTTGTTCTGTATGTACCACAGTTTTAGTCTAAGAAATAACAACAGGCATTATTTTCTTTTTAGTTGAATAGGAAGAATTTGATTGAAAATTATTAACTGGCATTTAAATTTCTTTTAAAACATTTGTATTTGTTTTTATTTTCCTTTTTCAGGAACACTTTTCTGCTTTGATTAAAATTTGTTAAACTCTTAAGCTATTGTGAATGAGTCTGAATGAAGATGTTTGTAGTAATTGTAGACACAATTGTCTTTTGTTTGCATTATCAGAATAACTTTATTTGTAAAGGTAGATGTTCAGAGTTTTAAAATACTGTTTTTGGATCAAGATCAGCACATCTTTCTCTTTTATTCTCCTGTACATCTTTTGATTGATTTGGAGTTGAATGGTGGTACAATTTTATTATATACAAATCAGAAAGCCTTTTGAAACAGACCTGAATTTGAGTCCTAGCACTTTCATTTACTGTAAGACCTCATACAAAAGTTGTTTTACAGTTTTACTTTCTTAACCATTCTGATTCTCAGTTTCCACATCCATAAAATAGGGATAGTATCTACTTTGAAAGGTTTTTATGAAATTTAAGACATAAGGTATATAAAGCATTTAGTGCAATGCCTGGCGTATATGAGGTGGTCTATAAATAAATGGAAGCACCTCTTGATTAATGGTAGCTATTTTGGTGGTTGATTAGCAGTGTGCTAATTAGGCCAGGATCATGGATTCAATCCCTCTGTGGACTAGATAGCATTATTCTTTACTGGAGCAAACTTTTAGATACCAAATAGCAACACTGAATCAGCACAAGGCTGTCATCATTACTGGAAAAACAGCTTGAGGCACGTTCTTTACTGCTTTGCAGCAATCAAATTTTTATACATGAAGATTAGATTATGCCAATATGAGGTGCCTAAGAACTCAAGAAACCAATTGTGTGCCCTAGGAATTTTTGTTTTGTTTTGGTTTGCTTAGTTTGGTTTTGATTTTCTAAACCGGCTGCCACCTCACATTGAGTACTGCTAAAGCAGACTTGCAAAATTTTTTCACCTGTTTTGCTCATCATTAGACTTAGACCACTGATCCTGGCATACTCTTTGTGTATTAAAGCCAGCGAGAGAGGCAAGAAGTACATCAGATGAAGAGCTCTAGTAAAAAAAAAAAAAAAAAAAAACAATAAAACCCAACTTTTTAACAGTGTGTTTTTTTGTTACGTATGTATGGTTTCTAAAAAAATACCCATGAATTAGGATATTCTTCTAAACAGTTTATAAAAATATGATAATAAATACTGAAATATTTATTATTTCAGTTGTCTTCAGTTGAACTTTGGAATTTTGATTAGTGAGAGAAGCCAGTGTGAAAAGCTGTGGTATTTTCCAGTTAAAATAGACAAAAGTGACTTCCTTTGTTGCTTGTGATTTTTTTGGTGAGGGTAACGCTTATCATTAATTTCAATGTATGGCCAAAGCCAGGGACTTCTAATGGCAAGAAACAAAGGCATTTTTGTTTTTGTTTTTTAGTTGATTTGCTTTGACCTTTATAAGATGGAAATAACACTTTCAGAACCACTTGTTTTATAATAATAGTAATTTGGGAAAATTGTTCTTTTTTCCCAATAATTTGCATTGTTAGAAGATTACATATGTGATGTTACCATTCAATTTCTAAAAATATGCACAGGATAATTAACAGTAATTTGTGTGAGTGCTAGTAAGATTTTTAAAAATTAATAGACTTTATTTTTTAGACCACTTTTAGATTTATAGAAAATTGAGCATGTAGTACAGTTTCCCTTATTATTAACATCTTGCATCAGTTGGTACATTTGTTATAATTCATAAACCAATATTGATACATTATTACTAACTAAAGTCCATAGTTTACCTTAGGGTTCTTTCTTTGCCTCGTGCAGTTATATGGGTTTTGCCAAATACATGTCATGTATCCACCCTTTTGATACCATATAAAATAGTTTTATTGTCCTAAATATTTCTTGTGCTTTACATGTTCATCTCTTCTGGCCTTGCCTCAGACCCCTGGTAACCACAGGTCTTTTTACTGTCTCCATAGTTTTGCCTTCTCCAGAATGTCATAAAATTGGAACTATATAGTATATACCCTATATAGTGAAAGACTGGCTTCTTTCACTAATCCATATGCATTAAGGTGGTTCTATTTTTTTGTGCCTTGATAGCTCATTTCTTTTTATTACTGAATAATATTCCATTTTATGGATGTAGCAGTTTGTTTATCCATTTACCTTTTGAAGGACTTCTTGTTTTTTTAGTCTTTAGCAATTACGATAAAGCTGCTATAAAATGCAGGCTATTGTGTGGACATAAAGTTCTCAACTTATTTTGATAAACACCACGGATTCAGAGGAAAGAGACCTGGGTTGGGGGAAACACCTAGGAGTGGGATTGCTAGATCACATAATAAGACAGTTTAGTTCTGTAAGAAGTTGCCAAACTGTCTTCTAAAGTGTCTGTACCATTTTGCATTCCCACCAGCAATGACTGGGAGTTCCTATTTCTCCATATCCTACCCAACACTTGATATTGTTGGTTTTTTGGACTTTAGTTATTCTAATAGGTGTGTAGTGGTACCTTGTTTTCTTTTGCCCATTTTTAAATTGTTTGTTTTCTAATTGTTGCTTTAAGAGTTCTTTGCATATTTGGAGACAAGTCCTTTATCAGATAAGTGTTTTGCAAATTGCAGAATTTTTCTTCTGTGGCTTGTCTTTTCATTCTCTCAACAGTGGTGTCTTTCACAGAGCAGAAGTTTTTAATTTTAATGAAGTCTGATTTATCAATTTTTTTCTTTCATGAATTATGCTTTTGGTATTGTGTATAAGAAGTCATTGCCAAACCCAAGGTTATCTAGTTTTTCTCCTATGTTACCTTCTAGAAGTTTTATAGTTTTATTTTTTACATTTAAGTCTATGCTCTATTTTGAGATAATTTCTGAGAGAGATGTGAGGTCATTATTTATTTTTTAGCATGTGGATCCTGTTGTTCCAGTTGTTCCAGCACCATTTGCTGAAAAGACTATTATTTCTCCATTGAATTGCCTTTGTTCCTTTATCAAAGATCCATTGACTTTGTTTATATGGGTCTATTTTTGGGTTCTATTCTGTTCCATTGATCTATTTGTCTACTATGTAACCAATATTACACTGTCCTGATTATTGTATTAATAACTTTAAGGTAAATTTTGAAGTCAGGTAGTGTCAGTCCCCTAACTTTGTTCTTCTTCAATATTGTGTGACTACTCTGAGTCTTTTGCCTTTCCATGTAAATTGTAGAATCAGTTTATCAATATCCAAAAAATAACTTGCTGGGGTTTTGATTGGGTTTATGTGAATCTGTAGATCAAGGTGGGAAGAACTGACATGTTAACAATATTGATTCTTCCTATTTATCAACATGGAATAACTTTCCATTTATTTAGATCACCTTTGGTTATTTTCATCAGCACCTTAGTTTTTCTTATATAACTCCTAT